TACGGCAGCACGGTACACGGTGCCGTGGTTCCCGAGACTGGGTTCTCTGCGTGAGGCCTTGCCAGGCTAAAGTCAGTGTGACTGACCTCTGATCTTTTCTGACGTGAAGTCCTCCCTGAAGGCCATCAGAATTCAGTTTCATGTAGCTGCAAGATTAGTAGCCCTTCTTTTCTGGCTGCCTGGCTGCTGGGACACATTCTGGCTTTGAGGCCACCCTCAGGTGCTGGCCACATGGTTCTCTCCTGAGCCACTGAGAAGCCACTGTATTCCTGAAAACCACACACCCAGGCTTCTATTGTGTCCCTCTCCTCTTGAGAGAATCATCCCCTCCTTTTAAAGCCTCCTCTGATAAGGCCAGGACAAACTCCTCTCAAAGTACATGCTTGTTTAAATCAGATAGTCATTAGGATATCTTACATCTACACTGTCCACACTGCCTACCCTCTGAGGGAGGAAGCTGTTCAGATCCTGTAGGTCAGGCAGCCTTGGTGTGTCTGTCTGTCTGTCTGTCTCTCTGTCTGTCTGGAACTCTTCAGCTAAGAGCCCCAAAACTCAGAGTAACCGGCTTGTCTGGAAGGAAGGAATATATATTATAAAGCATTATAAAGGAACACCTGTGCTCCCTCTTTGCCTACCAGGCTATGGGAAGGATGGACTACAAGAAATTAGAACTTCCCCAGGGATCTCCTGCTGGGAGAAGGAGCCCCAGAGCTCAGAGGGAAAGCTGACCTCCTGAAAATACGATTTAGAACTTGTCACTTGGAGCTGAGGCCATGGTGGGCAGGGCCACGCCCTGGCTGGATTGCTTAGTTATACATAACTCATGTCAGGACACTCCAAAGATGGACTTGGGGACCACTGGTCTCTGGTCCTTCTTCTAAATGTACCCACATTGAACACATTTCCCTTTTCTGCTTTCAGTATTAATTTGGCTCTTTTAATTGACTTATTGAGGACCGGCAGCTGACCCTGGCTTGTTAGGGTACAGAATGGAAACCTAAGTCCAGTAGCACCAACATCCTAATGAGGTGGGTTTCACTAATTCATTGTAAATGGGAGGGGGAACCTGTGAATTATGGATGACCCCCTCAGCGATGGACCACAGCACCCTGGGAGGCAAATTCAAATTCACTTTTGGAATGCAGAAATGCTGGACTCATCCCTGTCTGTTAGGCGCTGTCATAAAAGGCAAATGAGCAAACACTAGGGACCTGCTCCTGCAAACAGAAGTGCCATGATGGGCAGGTGTCGCATATGCCTGCAAACTGTCCTTCTGGGGAGCAGGACGACTCACATTTCCCAGGGCTAGGGTGGACAGCCAAGGTCAGCAGAGACCTTGGGATCTCTCTTCTGCCCTGTGGTGCCGAATGCCTTGCTTAGGGGCTGCACGGGGAATAGGTAAAGTACACACCAGGTCTCCCTACCCCCGCCAAAAAAAAAAAAAAAAAAAAAACCAAAATAAACCCCAAATTCTAGAACTATGGGTTTATTATAGATCTATAATTAGACTTTAAATCCTGAGTGCAGGGAAATGGTGAAGAGCAGGCTGCAATTCCTGAATGCTGAGGAGGTGTGTGGGGTGTGTGTGGGGGGACCCCTCCTAAAAGTCATTGTTAATGATGCTTGGGAAACATTAAACTGTAACAATGTGTTTCAGCTCCTGGGTCCTCTCACCAGCAATAAAGAAGAATTTCTTTGTAACAGATAATAAAAAATAGCAATCTAGGTTTACCTAGACAAATAGAAATCCTGGCTAATTAACTGTGGAGCCATTTCTCCAGGGAGCAAATATTCCAGTGGCTTCCGTGTGTCACTGTCAAACGGGTAAGTCATCGAGGGGGCCTGCTTTATGTGATGCGCAACTGTCTCAGATGAGCCAAAGAGAATATGAGATTAAAGGATGAATCATATTTTCCTTCCCTAATTAATATTCCAGAGGGCAAAATCAACTCACTCCCCCTCCCCCATCTACTTCTACCAAGTGGTAATGAGACCTGTAGAAAGACAGGGAAACTCGGGGGACACCTAAGAGAAAGGCATCCCCACCCTGGGGTTTGCTTTGTGTCTCTTGCTGGCTATGAGTCAAAAAGCTTCAACACTACTGATAAAATTGAAATTGTCTAGAGACGATGCTCTTTCCAAAAGACATTGAAAGCAAAAAGGTTATAAAAGTCGCGTGAGCCAAGCTGACTCAGGCCCCAAACCTTCAAAACCCTGACTTCTGCCTCATCAGCTCTCCTCTTGTCCTTAAACTCCAACCAGGCTCTTCATAAGCCACCTTAATACCTCATTCACCAAAGGAAATTCCTAAAGAGAAATAAAAAAAACCCAACTCATACATTAAAAGACAAATTGGAACTTCACTTCCTTTGTAAACTTTGATTACTCTTTGTATCTGGTTATAAATTATACCCTCGGAGCGAGGGAACTTCCCAAGACTCCAATCCCATTATAGCCTTTGCCGAGGCACTTGGGGGGTGTCTCTCTCTTAAGAAGCCCACAGTGATGCCTTAGGCAAACACTGCAGTCTTCCGGTGTAATTATCTTTTTAAATGTTCCCCTGTGTACAGCACCCCATCTCTCTGCTCAATGGACCGGCTGACTTGGCATCATTCTGACATGCCCCGGAGTTCTTTTCTGTGTCATTGTTGAAGACAGGTCCCTAAAACAGGAATTGTGTAGGCTCCTTGCAGCTGGGCTGGGCTGCATCTTTCAGCCACCATGGGCAACAACAATAATAAATCAAGGCAATAAACACATCCTAAACCTTAGCGGGAGAGAGAGAGAGAGACATGCCCCTGGCCAGGCTGCTGACATACAGCCATTGTTCATGAGTACCCATTCATCCATCACCCTGATCCTAGAGCTTCTATTGCTGTGATGAAACGCCATGACCAAACAGCAAGTCGGGAAGGAAAGGGTTTATTCAGTGTACACTCCCACAGCACTGTTCATCACTGAAGGGAGTCAGGGCAGAAACTCAAGCAGGGCAGGAAGCTGGAGGCAGGAGCTGATGCAGAGGCCGTGGAGGGTGCTGCTTACTGGTTTGCTCCTCAAGGCTTCCTCAACCTGCTTTCTTATAGAACCCAGGACCACCAGTCCAGGGATGGCACCACCCACAATGGCCTGGGTCCTCTTCCATCAATCACTAAGAAAATGCCTTGAAGCCAGATTTTATGGAGGCTTTTTCTCAACTGAAGTTCCCTCCTCTTAGATAACTCTAATTGTGTGTCAAGTTGACAGGAGATTAGCCAGCACAGCCCTGAAGAAGATATAGAAAGTGCAGCAGCCAAGTCAGCAACAGAGTGACCACAGTAGTGTAGAGAAAGCACCAGAGGGACGCCCCACAACCCCAGCTCTGGGCTGGGTAGTGCGGTGGCTGTTCTCGGCTGTCAACTTGACCACATCTGGAGTTAACTAAAACCCAAGTAGCTGGGTAAACCTGTAAACCTAAATCATTTGAAGTGGGAACACCAACTTTTAATCTGAGCCTTCTGAGGTGGTAGAACCCACCTTTGATCCGGGCCACACCTGCTGGCAGCCTACATAAGGACAGGGACAGAGGAGCTTGCTCTCTACCTGCTTCCTCTGGCTCTCACTAGTAAGGCTTCTCCTTTGCTGGCATTAGAGCCGACTTCTCTAGGATCCCAGAGTATACAGAGGACCAGCTAAGACATCAGCCTCCTGAACTAACAACCCACGGGGTCTTTGGACCTTCCATTGGTCACCAGCCACTGTTGGACTAGCTGGACTACAGCCTGTGAGCCATTCTAACAAATCCTTTATATATTCTGTCCCTCTAGAGAACCCTAATGCAACCAGCGTTTGTGGAAGAGGGGTGCACTTTCCTTTCCTCCCCAGGACCCCCGTGAGACTTCACTAACTGCGTTCAGTCAATTTACAGCATTTAATAGGTGCTGCATTTTAAATCAGAAAGTCAACGTGAGACCATTTGAAAAGCCAGCACTCACTGATGAGAAGAGAGAGAAGGGCAAATTGCTCTGTTTTGTTTTGTTTTTTAACCAAAAGGTGTTTAAAATGGCAGCTGGGCCCATTAACAGTCGGTCACTATTTGTCCCTCGCTCCATACCAAGCAAGAGGAGTCAGTACTCTCCTCAAGAGACACAGACCTCCCTTTGTGCCTCCTCATCAGAAGTCTCTTACTACACTCTGGAAACCTCAGAGCCAGAGAGCATTTGGTCCCAACCCTGAGAAATCACTGAACTGGTCGAAGGGCTACCCTGCAAGTTCCTGTTTCTGCTCCTGCGGGCAATGACTCACAACTGTTTCTTCCTAGTCCCAGACAAGCCAAGTTCTCTAGTGTGACTTTCTTTTATTTTGCTGACTTCTTCTCATTGAAAAAGAATCTAGACGGTTCCCTCCTGTGTTCCACATATCCCCATTCTTCCCCTAGAGATGCGGGATTACTCAGAGCCTTGTAAACACACAGACTTGATCCACAACCACGTGTGTCCACGCACGGTTGGACCATACATGTACAACAGTTACACTTCTGACAGGGCGTCCTGGGCTTCCGACATCTGTGTTTGTCTGGTTTCCTCATCATCCCTGCTTCCTTGGCCATGCCCTAGGCTTTGCTCTTCTTGGTCTTGGGAACTCTGAGGTCCTCTATGCTCTAGATTCTCACTGGTGCGGCTGTCCCCTCCCATACCTGGTCCACACAGCTACATGCAGGTGTACCCCATTATACTTAGGGTGCTACCTCAGACAAAAGTAAAATGAGCACATGGGTTACATTGGCTCCCATGGCCAGCAGAAGTCCTTCTGGTGTCCCTGATCATAGCAGAAACATCACTGGGGACTAGGCAGGTGAGGGTTACACTCTATAACAAGCCAGGCACTGTAATGACCTACTCAAACTCAGCCAGGTCCCCTTCTCAATGACAAAGTTTCTTTCATAACTGGAAAACTATTTGATGAAAACAATATGCTGAATGAGACAGGCTATAGTCACCACCACGGTATGTCTGCACACTTACCTTCACGGCACTGAAGCAGAAGGCGTGGAGCAGGGCTGCTACCAAGACACTCCGGCCCACACTGTACACGGCTGACGTGATTCCGGAAACAGCTGGAATACAAACACCATCCCCGCTTACTAGATGTGCCCTTCTCGGAATCAGTAGAGGGGTAAGGAAGGAGAGGGCTATGGCTTTCAGGATAAGCTGTCTGGCCACAGGATCCATCCAAAGACACAGGTCACTTAATGTGGGGAAGATTGTGACAGTGGAACTGACTATCCATGGAATAACGACACTAAGGGTGTGCCATTCCCAGAGGATACTGGGGTTATGTGCCTTTGGGGGAAAGATTTGTCAAGGCTCATAGATACTCTCACAACACACATCCACAACACTACAGACACAAGTGCATGCTGACCTATTCCCACAATGATCCATGTGCATGCTCACACACACACACACGCACACGCACACGCACGCACATGCACGCACTTCTTCCTCTAAAGAATAACTTGAAGGGCTCTCACACTCCAAATCTTCCCTTCCTTGTATCTTCGCTTATTCCTTTGCTGGGTGGACCACTTCTTATTCTATGAAGCTTAAGAAATCCAAACTAAATCAGGTTTGGAGCTCAAGACAGAGCAAACATCCCCGTCAAGCCCCCAATCCTCTGTCCCCGGGACCATCAGACCTTGTTCAATCTTAAAACCCTTCGGGGAAGAGCAGGTGCAAGGACTCACCAGAACCTCCAAAGAGCAGCATGTCGACTTGTTCCAGAAGGTACGTGCAGAAAGTGTTGATCTGTGGGAAGAGGCCCAGGAGGGAGATCACAGGGAAGCAACATAAAAATACTGGAATTGAACAAACAAAGGCAGCGATGAGCTAGGGGCAGGGTAACCATGGCCACGTTGTGGCTACAATGTGGTTGCCTTTCCCCTGTCAGACTCTCCACCACACTCGGAGAAACTGAGGCAACAGGACTCTCTCACTCAGGCATCTAGGGATGAGAAAAAAAAAAAAAAACAGCAAGTGCATTATCCAGGGCTGGTCACACAGACAGCTTGGGACCTCAGGGGGAGTCCGGAGCGGGGAGGGGGAGGAGGGAGGAAGGTGCTCTACCTGCAGCTCAGAAGAACAGAATCAGACCTGGGGAGATGAGAAGGGAGTTAGAGGATAGGGAAGCTTCCAGAAAGACATGCGAACAGGAGGTGACAGTGTAAAGTGAAGTTTTCAGAGGAAAAAAAGCCATACTGATGTCAAAGACTCACAAGACCAGGGCTGATCATGGAGACAATGGGATGTTATGGAACCAGGGCCACACACAGCATCCTGGCCTATTTCTAGTCCACCCTACCAAGAGTGATTCATTGTCTACTCAACCCGTTTTCATCAAATAAAGCCTTTACAACATGTTCTTAGCAGACTTCCAGCTTCCACCAAGCCCAGGTGGGTGTCATTCAGGTAACACCTGAAACCCGGAACAGAGTTTGTCCCCCTTCAGTCTGTCTGGGGCCCTCACCAACAGACTTGTTTAATAAAAGAGGCAGGTGGCTCCTGAGGACCCTGATTCTTGCTCTGACTTTTGTGCAGGAAGTAACAGCACACAGCTGTTGCTGCAAAACGGCTCTCCTCAAAAGGAATGAGCCAGATGTGAGTGACTGTGGCTGGGAGCACAGGTACAGATTCACCCAGAGGCTTGGTCATGGGAGTAGTGACGTGGGATTTTATTAGTTATGGAACAAAGGTCCATTGGCTGACCACATGTGTGAGTGTGTGTGTGTGTGTGTGTGTGTGTGTGTGTGTGTGTGTATGCATACATGTTTGTGTGGGGAATGCACATGCACATGGAGTATATGTGTGTGCATGCAGAGCTCAGTGGTTGACCTCACCACCATCCCTCAGCAGCCACCTTGTCTTGTTTCTTCACACAGGGTAGGGCTAGCCTCGTTGGTGAGGTTCGAGCCAGCTCTTGTCCCTGCAGTCTGACTCTGCAGGCCCCACCACAGCTGTGCCCTGCCTCTTTTGACACGGGAGGCTGAGACCTGTGGCCTCCCCATCCACAGGGTAATCACAAAGCCAGTCTCACTCACAGGCTCTTGCTGAAGTTACCCAGACAGTCAGTAGTAGAAACCCCAGTCTCAAGGTCAGCAGCCTCCCTGAGCCCAGGAAGTGGGTGCTTACCTAGAGGCCGGTCACCTGCCAACAGAAGCAAAGGAGGTCTCACCAAGGAGGGAAAACAGAGTGATACAATGAATACACACAGCTCAGCACAAGTGAATAAACTCACAGGAGAATGTTATCCCTGACGGGGCTTGGCGGCGTGGGCTATAGTCACAGCTATCCAGCAAGCTGAAGTTACAAGTCCCAAGGCAGTTTGGAATATGGAGTGAATTTGAGGCCAGCATATGGAAGTTAATAAGAGTCTATCTCAAAATAAAAAGTTTGAAGACTGGGGATTTGGGTCAGTTGTGGAACACTTGACTGGATATGTGAGGCCCTGAGTTCAATCCTCAGTACCACAGACTCATTCACCTATCATCCATCTATCTATCTATCTATCTATCTATCCATCCATCCATCTATCTAACTATCTAACTACCTATCTATGGATTGATCTATCTATCTACCTACCTATGGATCTATCTATCTATCTATCTATCTATCTATCTATCCATCCATCTATCTATCTACCTACCTATCTATGGATCTATCTATCTATCTATCTATCTATCTATCTATCTATCTATCTATCTAT